CTTGCTGAATAAACTAACAAAATAATGAATGAAGTATGTTTTTGCCTTGGTTTAAAAAAAAGGCTGCATCAGGAACCCATGCCTAGGCTTCCCCATATGAACATAAATAAACTTTGTTGATTTGTCCTGTTAAAGAAAAAAAAAAAAGCTGCCTCTATCAGTGAATTAAAATATATTTTGATTTTACATGCTTTGGATTTCATGGGCTTATCAATTAATTCTTCTATAACAATGTCAACAATTAATACAAGTCTAAAATCAAATCCCTATCAACATGCTAATTGTTTTTCCCCAGCTGCAGGTTGTGCCTATATTCCAGCCTCTTTTATGGTGACATATACACAGCAAGACATATCTTAGGAGCTATGCAGCAAATTAGCTGACATAGTTTACTTTAATCGCTACTATACTCAGTAAGGTCTGTTAATGAATCACAAAACTGTCCCTTAAACAAAGTAAAGCAATATTTTATTAGTCTGAACTTTTCACTCCCACTAATGGTGGTTTTATTGTGTGTTTCTATTTTAAATGTTTAGAAAAAAGAAGAGCCAAATAAACAACTTAATGTGAGAACAAAAGGTAACTGGCACACTCTATCAGTCTGTTATTGCTGACATATATTAACTACCAACAGTCAGAGAAAAATATGTATGTGCAAAACACTAGTGAAATATCTGCAGTTAGCTTGAAGGGCTATAAATAATCATTGCTAAGCTGAATGGGAGACAGTGGTTAAAAAGTCATGTATTTCCAGTAATTTTCTACTCTAAAAGAGTCTACAGAATAACCCTTAGCCCTTCAAAAATGTTCCCCACCCTGAACTGACCAGTGCCCTAACATTATATTGTCCCATCATTTTATGGCTCCCTCTAACCTAAGCAATCACTTTCATTAAACATCACCAATACATTTTGGAAAAGATGGCCTAATTTTATTTCAAATATTTGCTATTTTTATTAATATAGTAGAGACATTCCTTAATAGAAAAAAATGAAAATTCCACTTGGATAAGGACTTCCCAAATGCAGTCATGGAATAGGACTTTTCTTTCCAATAAAATCCTTTGTGATCTTATCAGCAAAGTAGCTTTAAGTAAGATATAGATCAAAGCAAATGAACCACACACAGTTCAAATTTAAGTTAACATCACTATCATAGTATCTGTACCTATCCTCTTTTTGCTGACAGGATTTCACTGAGTCACACATAAAGTCTCAGTTTGTTCTTCCTACAATCAATGGCAGCATACACATATAATATGAACTCTTTATAAAGTGCAACAATGAAATGGACAAAATGGAAACAGAATCTACAATCCTCACTATCCCCATACTCTAATCATGGAGTTTATCTGTGCCAACAAACAAAAAAAAAATGTCACAGAGAAATATGATAGACAAACCAGCAATAAAGGCACTACCTAATTACAGCTCAACTCTACAAGTATTAAAATTATTTCAAGATTTGTATTTTTTATCTCTGTCCTATAGAACACACACACACACACACACACACACACACACACACACACACACACACAAGGGAGAATCAATATATGAAAATCTGTGACATTTTCTTCTATTAGCTATAGTCTACTATGAATAAAAAATTCACAATATTTTTTAAACTACAAAAAAAATTATTTCTGCTCAATCATAAATGAAAGACCATCCAATGCTCTTGGACAAGATAACCTAAAATTATAATGATGTCAATGCTCCCCAAAATAAATCTATAGATTCCATGCATCCTCAATCAAAATTCTAGTTGCCTTGTTTTTAGAAACTCTATCTCTAATGTACAGAGAAAAGAATAAAAATCCACAAATAGCTAAGCCAACTTTGAAAATGGGCTAAGAATGGAGAATCTGCCCTATCAGATATTTAACATCATTAGATATTTGAGAAATGCAAATTGAGACCAAATGATATATCTCTACACATCTATTAAAACAGCTAAATTAAAATATAGTGACAATACCAAATGCTGGCAAGGATGCAAAGAAACTAAATCTCTCATACATTGCTGATGGACATGTAAAATGGCACAGCCACTCTAGAAAACAGTTTGGCAGTTTCTTCAAAAACTAAACGTAACACTTAACCATACCGCCCATCAATCACACTCGTAGGCATTAATCCCAGAACATGTGAAATTTATATCCACACAAAACACTGTACAAGAATGTTCACAGCAGCTTTATTTTTAACAGCCAAAAACTGGAAACATCCCCAGTGTCCAGGTGAGTGGTTAGACAAATTGCGGTATATATATACATATATATATACACCATGGAATACGACTCAAATTATGCAACAATTTTGATGATCTCAATCTCAAAGTGTCACATGCTGTGTAATCCCATTCCCATATCACTCTTATAATGATAAAATTATCAAAATGTAAAATTGATTAGTAACCAGAGGTAGGGATAGTAGGGAGAAGGGAGATGGGTGTAACTAGAAAGGTGTAGCACAAAGGACATCTTTGTTGTGATGGAATAATTCTGTTTTTTGACTGCAGTGGTAGTACAGGTAGATACCTGTAACACAGGTAATAAAATAGCACAGAAGGATATACACATATTGTGTCAATGTCAATTTCTTGCTTTTGCTACTATTGTACTATAGTTGTATAAAAGGTAACTACTGAGGGAAATTGGGTGAAGTTATATAAGATGTAACCATTGGGGGACACTAGACCTCTTTGTACTATTTTTTTTGCAAATTCCTGTGAATCTATAATTATATCAAAATAAATTTAAAAATAAATTAGAAGAATTAATCATGTAGGGAAAAATAATACAAAGCCATAGTATTAAAACAGCATGGTATTAGATTATGTGCAAACAAATAACCAAATCAACAGAAGACAGTGTTCAGGTTACTTATAATACACAAGTGTGACTCCATTTATCTAAGGGGAAAGGAGAGAATGACACTAGGAAAACTGGCCCAATATATGAAAAATAAACTGAATCTGTATCTTGTGACATATAAAAAGACAGACTCTGGATGTATTAAATTCCTACAAATTTAAAGGAAAACTATGAAGTTAGTTGTATATAAATTAGATTAACTTTGTGACACAGAATCAGAGAAAGACTTCTTAAAACCCCAAAATACAAACCATAAGGCAAATTTTTAAAAACTTGATTACATCAAAAAAGATTGCTGTTCAGTGAAGGACATCATGAAAAATGTTACAAATGATGGAATAGGAACAAATATATTTGTAATATTTAAAGGACTAGTATCTGGGATACACAGGAACATCTGTAACCCATACAGAGAATACACATCACAGATGTTAGAACGGCTGCCTATGGATTGATGGGCAAGGCAGTGGAGTGGGAAATGGAAAAAAAAGAATGGAGAAAAATCAAAACAACACAAAGCAGGAGACACACAGTGAACAGCCCAATGATGATCCTTGAATTGAGAAAGATTAACTCAATCCTCTGCACCTCAGGTTCAAAACAAACTTGAAGGATTCACCTAACACTACTAAAACTACACGTCATTACCCTTGACAAAAGGCACAAAAACCAGTTCACTACATTTAAAGTTTTCAATACTAAGCCTGTTATACAGATAAACCACCCCACTTCCTTTGCTTCAAAACAGAACTTATATCCAAGATAAAAATAAAAGGATATTGTAAGATACAAGACTCACTACCTCAATATTTAAGTTCCCACAGTGATACTCAATTAAGGCAAAGCCCAGTCCTTTCAATTTATCTAATTATCAAGATATTTTAAAATTTATCTACGGGTGACAATAAAAAAAAGTAAAAGGCATACCTAGCTTTGTTGTTAAGGAGGGTTCTGTAGCTTTTTAAAAACAGACATTTAAACAAATCTCTCTACTACAATCGTTAATTGAAATTAACAAGGCATTTATTATCTATATTGTTTCATTTTCCCAATTTGAAATAACTGGGAAGTCTGTTACTTTGGATGAAATCATGGTAGTTTTCGATTCTTCATAACAAGGGCATTTCAACACATTATTTTCAGGCTTAAGCTGCCCTCCACCTTCATAAATTGCACATAAAGCAAGAAAATTTGTGTGTGTGTAATAAAAGTTTAAAAACTCAAAAACTCAATTTTTCTCATACAACAGGTGATTCTTGCCATCTTGTCATTAAGTCCTAAGCAATAAACATCAAAAAGTTACCGCTTGCCACTTTTGGCTCATGGCAAATGTTACAGTGAAAGCAAGCTGGGGCTTTTCTACTGAATCCTAAAATCCGCAGCATCAACAAAAGCAAAGCTGCCTGAGACGCAACTGTAGCTGCCATAGTTTCAAAACTCTTAAGGACCAGCAAATTCTGCCTAGTTAGACCTGGGAAATCGGCATAGCAAGTGAATCAAAACATAAAAGAAAGGACAATTTTTGAGTCGGAGACAGGGTGGTGCTGACTCCAAACATACGTTTTAATAATAGGTGAGCGGTATAGCAGGTGTCCTCTTAAACCAATTCCTAGGGCAAGATGAGAAGTGGCATGAGGTGTCATCTCTGATGAAACTCTCAACCGGCGACTCGGTACCTTAGGCAAGGGTAAACTAAAGAGGTGCACCAACAGATAAGGAGAGACTATATGTACCCCAAAATCGTGCACAACATGACCCGAAAGCACTGTCAGTAACCATCCACCCAGCATCACTAACCACCGCACCCCGTTTAAATTGCCACTGAAGCCGAGGCTGTCCCATCTTAACACCAAAGCCAGTGTCAACAGAATCAAATGTCACTCATCAGGGGAGGACGCCCCAAAGAACCCTGGCAGGACCCACATTCCATGCAAAGGCGCCTGGCGGTGGGCCCGAACCCGCAGGCGCGGAGCACAGCATTGCTTTGAGCAGCAGCGCCCTGACAGCTGGCGCCACCTCGGGCTGGGGCAGCCTGTGACCCCTGACCTTCGGCCCCTGATCTCCAGCTGCGAACACCTCGCGCGCTGGGATTTCCCCAGGGTAACCTCGGAAGCCCCCTTACCTGTCACAGCTTCATCTGCCGCGATGTTGTCTGTCCCACCACCCGCGGACGCCGCGGCGAAGAGCCCAAGGCGAGAATGTACGGGGAGGATGGGGTGGGCAGATCAGAGAGGGAAAACCTTTGGGACCACAACCTCTGGCCAGCCGCCTCCTCCCACGGAGAAGACAAGCTGTCGCTGTCGCTGCCGCCGCCGTCGCCGCCGCTGCAGTAAATCAGCTGACACCAGCCTCAACTGCCGTGACTTTCGCTGCAACTGTCGCAAAAATGAGGGGGAAGGAAACTCATCATTTCCATACAGGCCTGGCCTAGACGGGCGCCGAAAGAGGGAACCCCGTCACCATGGAGACCGGACGGAGGCGTCGGCGCAACTGCGGACAAGGAGTGCACGGCAGCCATCTTTGTTAAGGGAAGTCTGGTCTAGGCTCTTTTCTCGCCTCGACTACCCCTGCTGGGAGGACCAAAACGGAAGGAAGATGAAATGGAAAGTGTTAGGAGTTCCCTGTGATCAGGATGTTGCAAGGTTCCTCTTCTGCGCCCGCGACTCTTGGCACCTAGAAAGTGTTAGATCTGGAATTTGGTTAGTTTCCCTCTGACCCCGAATTTAGCTACGACACAGAGCGCCAGAAGATGAACTCGGCTACTCGACTAGAAGTCCGCGCTTGTGCAACATTCCTGTGGAGGAGAGAGAACGAACGTACACTCCCCGGGTGGGTGGCAAGGAGCGGTGGGGCTCAAGGTCTATATTCACTGAGACATGTGTTCTGATCTCGGTTCTTCCACTACACAGTTGGTGTCGTCTGTTACATCTTCTCTTCTCCTCAATGTCCCCATCTACAAAATAGGCATAATAACCTCATGGATGTCTAGGAGATAAAACGAGCTCAATAAATGTTAATTACTGTTTATGCTAGCCTATCTTCCTTCCAAATATTTGTTGAGTGAATGAATAAAGGATAGCCAAGTGTTAAAACTGGTGCAATGCTGGTAGCCAATTGTCGGTTCTGTAAAAAAGATAGAAAAGATATTCATTCTATGGCTTTGCTTTTCCTCTTATCATCTCACTAACGGGTTTATAGGACAAGTAAGAATTCTGCAGTCCGCAAAAGTTACTGTACAAAATGAATCACCTTGAGAAGCTTGTTAAAATGAAGTTTCTGATTCAGTAGGTTTGGAGTGGGGTCCTGAGATTCTCCATTTCTAACAAACTCCTAGGAAATGCTCATTGCTGCTGGTCCTTGGACCACACTTTGAGTAGCAAAATCCTATTGGACAGGCCTATAAAGCAGGGGATTAGGGAATTACAACACGGCAGAAACAAGTGCAGCTCATCACTTCCTTCCTAATTTGCCAAAAGAGAGCTAAGTATTGGTTTGATCAAAAGGCTTCCTGTTAACAATTTATTATTCTTAATAATGGCAAACTTTTCCCTCCCCTTCTTTCCAGTTTAGACACTCTCCTTCCAGCAACACATTACAAACCCATCAGTGTTCCAGGAGGCATACCCTATTTTCCTTCACCAGGTCATTTAGCATCTTTGGGTCTCAGGTGCTGTTTCTTACATGCTATTTCTGTTTATTTGTAGGGACCAGTTCTGCCTCCACCATAAAGAGAAGAACAAAATCATAATGTTGACCAGGAAAGTCAACAGAACACTAGAAAATCAGTAATTCTAAAATTGTCCTGTACTGAAAATTGGAATTCTATCATTTTCTACTTTTGACTAACTGCCTTGCGATCACATGGGGGAGAGGGGAAGAGCAGGGACATGATGGTAAATAAAATAAAATAATTCCTCAGCCAGTTGGGTTCAGTACTCACTCCATCTGTTGTGATAATGAATACATTTAAACCATTAAGTTCATAATCCCCTTTACAATTTATAAGAACTTTTTGGAAATAGGAGAAGCACAGAATGGTTACCACAGGATAATCTTAGGCTACATCAAAGCTTGCTCAGCTTGTCAAGAAAATCAAGATATCTTTCCTACATCAAGTTAATTACTCAACAAATATTAATCAAAAACTTACTATGTTTCAAATACATTGCTAGGAATACAATGAGAAGCTTTCAGACTATTAACAATCTCTAGCAAGTTAAAAAATTGACTGCCAAAGTCCATATATATGTGTATAATCTCCTGAGTTATAGGACTAAAATAAATATTCAAATATTAATGAATGAAATTCTGGTTCAGAAAATTCACATATTTATATATACACACACATAAATATATGTGTGTGTTTTACATGTATAGCCTTCCTGAAAATTTGGATTTTTACCTTCACTAAGCTGATCCTGAGTAAATTTATTTGAATAAATTATTTATTTATTCCTCTCATGTAGAAATTATAAGATCTTAGGAGATTTATATAGTCAGAAAATTCAGCTCAAGATATATTAATTGAACCATAACTGAAAGTGCAGATGAGAAAGTAAGAATTTGACAAGTTCAGTTTCTATAGAGGAAGGCAGGCTCTGCTTTCCACCAAGACTCACAAAATAGGGAATTCCTTAAACATTGCAAAGTGCTTGGATGCTAGGCAGCCAAAAAGAATGACAAATGTCCACCAAGATATATGACTAAAATAAATAGAGTGCAACATGAGAAATACAAAAAATGGGTAGTGGAGAAAAGAGGTGAATTACTGTTAGGCTGGGCTGAGGAGGATAATCACATTAGGTTTATGGAGGTCTAGATAAATTGGTAAGATTTAAAATAGGAAGAACTGAAAAGAAAAACAACTCTTGCTGGTACGGAATGTAAAACATGGGCATAGACAATAAACAGAAAGTTAAGTTGGGGGAAGGTACAGAAAACATGGAGTAGATGTAATGAGAAACTATTATTACAACTTAGCTATTTCTGCTCTTTAGGGGACTCTGTCAACAGGCAATCTTTGCCCTGGAGCTCTCTCCTAGGTTGATATAGTCTTTCAGATTGGACCTAGACCCGGTAATAAACAGTAACATGGGAAAAGAGAGTAAGGTCAGATAATGAGAGCCCTTGAATGCCCTTAAAAGCTTTTTGGACTTTATTCCAAAGGCAATGAAAAGCCATTGAAGACTTTTAACCAATACATAGAGTGGTGCTTCAAACAATACACCATTTATTGCCTAACAGTTTCCCTTGGAAAGGGGTTCAGGCACAGTTTAACTAGGTCTTCTGCTCAGGATCACACAGGGATTCTAAACTCATTTGGCTCATTCATTTCCTTGTGGGTCTATGACTAAGGGCCCTGGCCCTCAGGTCCTACAAGCCAGTCACAGTTCTTTGCCACCTGGTCCTTACCAAAGGCCCTCCCAGGACATGGTAGCTTCTTCAAAGACAGCAAAGAGAATCTCTCTACTGAGCACAAGAATGATGGCATCACAGATATGAATATAATGATATAGATACAGCTGAAGCTATAGATAGTAACCTAATCAAGATAGTGACCATCACCTTTGCCATATTGGTTAGGAGCAAATCACAGGTTTCACCTACACTCAGAGAAAGAAGATAACAGAGTGTGATTCACTGGGCAGTCACTGTCAGATGTGTCAATCACATATACTAATCTGGCAGCAATGCATCATGTTAATCAGGCAGGAAAGAGCAGCAAGGAGATGAGTGAGAAGTTGTCATTGTTATAATTTTAATCAAACCTGTAAGTTGTCACAAGAATAGAATCACAAATAGAACCCATTGAGTATGGGTTAGAAATTTCAACATGCTATAGGTATTAAATGTTACTAGCATTAATAATATTTAAATATCACTCTATCTTTAGAATTTAGTAACTGCCCCACAGCAACATACCAGTACTTCTTAGACTTCCTAAGTTCCAAGTTAGTTCTCCAAAAGGCAGGGAGATTTGTTCTTTGGTTTCACGTGTTTCAAAAAGAGATTATTACGCTGCCCAGTGGTCTGACAGTGACCTCATTATTACTGTCATTTTCCAACTGTTTCATGTGCACTGTTATTTTTTTCTTCATCTAGGTTATAAATCTGTGGTTTGGTTTTCTCCATGGGGTCTAGTACATTGCAAATTCTGTTCCTTCCTTTTTGGACCCATTCCCCTCAATGTCATATCATGGTTGGGGGCTTCACGTTAGTACTGAGAGTCCTCTGTTATACAGAGTTATTCAGAATAGTTTAATAAGTGTTCTTTGCACAGTTTTGCATGATTAAAACGCTTTAGGAGATTCCCTCTGCATTTTCTCACATGACATGAAAGTCAACTAGTGAGACTTCTCTTTTTTTCCTACCTCATAACTTCCACTAAATCAACCTATTTCTTTCCAATTTGCTCCATACTCATACCTCCTAGGAAGGAGTAAAGGTGATAAGGTTGGGGGTACTCCAGCTTCTCACAAATGAGGGTTTGGGGGCAGTTCAGCAAGCTATCAAGATCAGCAAGGGGAAATCAGGATAATAAAGGAACAGCTGATGAGCACCACTTGCAACACTGACACCAGCTGCAGCAACAGGGGCTATAGTTTGTCCTACTGACCTCCCTCTTCTGCTTCCTATTAGGGTGACAGGAATGACCACCAGAGCCCAGAAGAGTTGCCCCCAAACTTGTGTGAAGATTATATCCCAGGTGCTACAAATTCTGCAAAAGACACAGAGATTCACTGCCCAGATTCCCCTTCTAGAAAAAAACAAAAACAAAAATACTTCCCACTCCCTTTCCAGCTGAGGCTCTCTATTCTTGGGGCAGCCCCTGGCAATGCCCGAGCAAGGTGAAGTTAACCAAGAGCCCATGCTTCTTGACGAGACCCCCAGTCAGTGACTAGCAAGGTTTTCCCTTCTTTTCACTGAACCACCTTCTTCTCCCTCCCTACCCTTCTTCTTCTACTTTTATGTACATCTGAATTTTTCTCAAAAATAAAGAGTAAACAAAGTTTTTATAAAAGAGAGACAGATACATCAACCAATGCAATGACATGCCTAAGTTTGGTATTGATCCAAATAAGTTATAAAAAAAATTGGAGAAAAATGGGTAATTTTAGCATTGAGTATATATCTGATAATATTAAGGAAATTCTGTTAACATTTCAGGTGTGATAATGGTATTTTGGCTATGATTTTTAAAGGAATCCTATCTTTAGATACACGGGTTGAACAATTTATGGATTAAATTACATGATGCCTAGCATGCTCCACAATACTATTAGATGAAGGGGAAAGTGGCTACAAGAACTTTACTTCCATTTTCATGAAATAGT